CCCTTTATCCCGTTAATTCTCTCCCCTATTCTCAGGTGTGTGGGGGGGGGAATTGTGTGAGTGGGTGTGTGGTTTGACCCCCAGCCAAGGGCAAACCCATCACACTCACTCTCTTCCTGAAATAGGATGCTCTTTTTACCTGGAGCGATGTATCATGTGGCCTAGGCGAGAGGCTGGGACAATTACACAGTAAAGTGGGAAGTTTGCATTCTAAGCCTGTCTGCTAATCAGCTAGGAAGTACTAGAGATTTATTAATTAGATTTAAACAAGACATACAGGTGGATGTTTCCTGAATCCCTTTTGCCTACAGTGACCTATACCTAGTAATCAAAGCTATGTCAGTGACAAGCATCTCCAGTGGTCACCAGCCACAAAGGACACTGTGAAAACAAGGCACCCCAAAGGAGGGACAAATACACTTTGTATTTCAGACAAACAGGACATTTGGTTAGAATAGGAATTGTGTCCCCACTGTTGATATCCAACCAGGAAAAAAATTTGCACAGCCTGGCTTGGCTGACGGTCTGTTTGAGTGTTTCCATGTTGTATGCATTTGGCAATCAGCCCATGGTGCACTGAACTATCATGCAGCACAGTATGCCCCTCCTGCCCACAAATCAGAGAAAGGCAGCAGAGGAGGGGTTAAGCACTGTCTGGGGGGGATATTAGTGCAGAATACTCTAGGACTACTTTTCCAACATGAAGATTTTATAGAGGCCATAAGAGTGAGTAACGAGTCCTCTAAATTCAGCTGTTGGCACCAGACACTCACAATATATGGTAACTGAGTTCTCTGTTCCCTTTCCTTGAACTGGGTGGTCCAGGTAGCAGCTATTTGTGCTTTCCTTTCTTGGTTGACCCTTGACAGGTACTTTGTCTCCACAGTCTCCTCTGTAATTCTCCCGAAGAGCTGTGCTGTGCATCAAATTCCTTAGAAAAAAGGTGCTATGTGAATGGAAAGCTGGTATGCCTTGAAAAAGGTTCTGGCTTGTTAGTATTATTGCACAGCTATTATTAGTGAGGGTCTGCATTTGTTTCTCCTTTTGTTGTGTGTGCTGCCAAGCAGGCTGAGCTCTAGAGTGCTGAGTAGACAAAAGCTGTGATGACTGTATCAAGATAAACAAGTAATAAATAAATGACAAGGACAAAAATGAAAGGTATTTTCTTTTTTTATTAACTCGGACAAGTGTATTTCACAAGGAAAATCAAATTTTGAAATTAGCTGTTCAGAGTGGCTGCATGGCTCAGTGGATTGGCTGTGCTCCAGGGAGTCTGCCCCTTTGATTCCGTTGTAGAAAGCTAACCAGGATGGACAGTATCTGCTGGCAAAGATCACTGGGGGTCTTTCCAACTGGTTCCCACTGCCAGTCACAAAAGGAGAAAGTGAGCCTGGAGCTTCAGTCTTCTAGGGGATTCTTCAGCTGTTTGGATAGCCTGGACTGCAGACAGGGACTGTGGAAGCCACATCCAGGGCTGTCAATCTGCCCTTATGAAGCCTCAGAACTTGCAGAACACCCCTATAATAACCCTAGAAAAACAACTCTCTTCATTAAGTGGCTAAGTTTTACTTCTATTTCTCTACTGTTCTGTCAATGTTACAAGCTGGGAGTGCCAAGCAGCAAATTCAACTGCTCAGGCAGAACTGAGTGCCTACATCGCACCTGCCTCTCCTGCATGCACAAGTGAGGACGGGCAAAAGGAGCACGGCAGGTGCCTGGCAGACAGACTGCAGGTGGAAGCTGCTTGTTGCCATCTTGATTTCAGAAGTACAAGATCCTTTCAAATTAGAGAGACCCTCAAAATGCAAAATGCAGACCTGAGTCCTAAACACACTTGTTTTATTTTTGCTTATTCTTCATCCTGACCGTCAATACATTCCCAGTCCAAGTTTGAGGGGACCAGCCCATCACTGGGATGTGTATTGGGACCTCTAATGTTCCACGAGAGGTGAGGGAGCAGAACACAGGGGCTTTGAGGTAGTAACCCCTTCAATATCTGTTTCTTTTGGCACTGGTAAACCAGCAGCTGATGTGAGGCGGCAGCCCCGCTGTGCAGCATCCGCTCTAGTAGAGCAAGCTCATACCACAAGGGACAGGATGTCCTTGTAGACCCACAGAATGAGATCGTAATTTGCAATTATCATGTGTTTCTACTTTTAAAAAAATGAATATTCCAAACAAATACGTCCCTCAAAAAAGAACTGTTAAACAATGAAATCTTTATGCTCTGTAGGTCAATGGATTTTTTCACCCAGCAAGTACCACATATTTTAAATTGAGAAGAGGGCAAACAGGTTGCCTGGTAGGAATAAGCTAGCAACAGAGCTCTGCATTGTTCCCATTGCGGAAAGAGCATAATGGTGTTGGGAATGGATGCTTCTAGAAGGCTTTGTCTATTTGCAGCTCCTTCCAGCTCCAGAAAGTCAAGTGTTGCCAGAAGGGGAAAAAGTCACAAAAATGCCAGACACGAGGTAGCAGTATCTGAAACCCCAGAAGCTATAGGAATCCCAGGACCGGCCTATGCTGAGCAGCCTCTATCAGGAGAAAGTTCTACTTGTTTTCTTGAAGGGGATCTCACCAGAGTAATGGTATCTGACTTAGCTACTTCTCATTTGGAGGAGCCCCCACCTCTATGGACTGCATAAAGCAGTTTAGGAGAGGGATGCAGCAATGGAGTATTTCAACCACGAATACTTTGCCAGTGTTCAGCAAGCTGTTCTATTTACAGCTGGCAGCCATTCATACATGGGAAAGGGGACAGGAGAAACATTGTTGGCTTTATGCTACTGCAGCCAGCTTTTCTGCTTCCAGTTAATTTAAAAATGAGCCAGAGCTGGTTAGTCTTAGAATGAGGGGGCTGTCTGGAGTCAGTCCTTCCTCTTATGTCTCTGAGATAGTCCTTCTACAGCCAACTGCAACTGTCCTGGACATGTGTCCTCTCCAGTTTCCTTCAGAGTGCATCCTCATTGCTGTCAAATGTTGGATTGCTATGGCCTCCCATATTTCCCTCTACTGATATTGTCACAGAATCTGAGAAGAAGGTTTCATTCACAGGTGGCCAGGCTGAGTCCTGCTCTAACACCCGCTGCAGCCTCTTGTAATGGCTCTTTGAGTGGTACCCGAAGGTCTTTTTCAGAAGCAACCATAAGGGTCTGTTCTCGATGACAGCTTCCTGTAAAAGCAAGAGCAAAAGGAAGATTCTGGAGGACCTGGGCAGCAGTTTTCCTTCTTCATCCATAGGACACCCATGGGGCAAGTAGTGGAGATCCAGATCTCCCACCCTGTCCTGCTCATCCACATCCCTTAAATAGCCTTTTACTGACTAGTTCTCATACCAGCTCCACCAGAAAACTGGGACCAGCTCTTCCTGACAATCTTCAGGTGAGTAGAAAACAACAAAGACTGCCCATATTTCTCTAGCCTGGGGCAAAGCCTGATACATCCCACTCACCAGAGGAAAGAAAAGGTGGGTGGGCTTTGCTTTCCCTTGTATCTGATCATTCAGATGTGGGGGTTTGAGGAAAGAGAATAAGGGCAAGGTAGCAGCAATAGCTCCTGTGTTACTAGATATTCCCAAGCTGGGCTGAGGAGGAGGTTTTTCCCTCAGGAGTGAGACCTGACCCTTCCATCTCTCCAATTAGTGCTGACAGGTACATTCAATGAAGCATGCTCACCTCGACAAGGAAGGACACAGCAAGTGTGACTCCAAGCATTATCACTATGGAGATCCGCCACATGGTAGGGGTGCAGACGAGCTGGGAAAAAAGCAGAGGAAGCTGTTCAACATGTGCATGCACTAGACATTGGTGGGAGCTTATGCCATAGAATCATAGATGCATTTAGGTTGGAAAAGACCCTTAAGATCAGTGAGTCCAGCTGTAAACGTAACACTACCAACTCCACCACTAAACCATGGTCTATAAGCACCACGCCTACACCAGATCTTTTAAATACCCCCAGGGACGGTCACTCAATCACTTCCCTGGCCAGCCTGTTCCAGTGTTTGATAACCCTTTCAGTGAAGAAATTTTTCCTAATGACCAATCTAAACCTTCCCTGGCGCAACTTGAGGCCATTTCCTCTTGTCCTATCACTTGTTACTCGGGAATAGAGACCAACACCCACCTCGCTACAGCCTCCTTTCAGGTAGTTGTAGAGGGCGATAAGGTCTCCCTTCAGCCTCCTTTTCTCCAGACTAAACAACCCCAGTTCCCTCAGCCACTCCTCACTGGACTGTTCTCTAGACCCTTCACCAGGTTCATGTCATCAAAAACCAGAATCCCCCACTGGCTGTACTGCTGATGAGACAATATTGCTACTTGTCTTGAGGAATTATTGATGAAGATGCTTTTAAACTTATGATGCAGCAGAGAAAGCAGTAATCCAATCTAAATGCTTCCTTTCTTTCTAATATAGGAAATAGTTTGAAGTCTGAGTATTTTAGCTCCAAACCCAGCTCCAGCTTCCCACAGCTGGCAGCACTGGCTTTCTGGCTGTAGCTCAACTTATTGTGGAGATGCAGCTCAGATGCAAAAGTTGCGTCCGCAGTTTCTCCAGGGCTAGGATACTGCAGAGTTCCTTATTGCTAGTCCCTCCTTTTCTTTTCTCAGCAAATCCAGTGTATTCCTCCAGACAGCCTGTGAGTTTTGCAGTTCTCCCCAAAGGCATTTTAGCCCCTTCACAGCTGCAGTGCTGACAATGCCCTGTGTTGCCACAGTCCACAACAGGACTAAGACTTAAAGTGCCATCTCGTGGCAGATTCTTTAACTGGGCCAAAAAAAGAAAGTTACACGGTGAGGTAGCTTTAGCTAGGCTGCTTGGCATTCAAAATCCAGGTCCATTCCCCTTGTCTTTGTTTCTCTTTCAATGTTTCATTATTTCCATTTCTAAATCCACTTGCTAACTGTCACACAAAGATACAGGACTCGAAGCAGAATTTTGTTCAGTACTTGTTTTCCAAAGCCACCACACTTCATCGTTGTGATTACAAATGTACTGAAAAAATAGCTGTGTGCAGCCTTTGTTTTTTTGTTCCTGTGACTGCTACTACAAGGTTCTGAAAGTGTCACATTGGAGGAGGTTAATATCTCCCAGCCTCCACATGCTAATTGCCAGGTCCACTGACAGCTCTGTCCTACAGCTGATGTACATCTTATCCTTCCCTTACGTTTCCCCTAGGATGGATTTGTGTAAGGCAACTCCCAGATTGCGTTCTGCCAGACTAAATAAACCAAGCCCTACTGGTATTTATTTATCAGGGATCAAGATAGATCCTCTATTCCCATGACAGCCCCTCTAGTCTTTCTCTATAACTGTTCTAAACACAAATGCTGCTTCAGGAGAAACTGCAGGCTGTCTGAAATTTAAACAGGGAGCCTGAAAATATTGGGGACTGAGAGCTACTCTAAGTGCCAACTGGCAGATCTTTGCAAGACGATCTGTGTGCAGAGTAGCAGAGCCTGAGAAAAACAAATGCATGGTGCTTTAGTTTAAACTTGCAGAGCGTAGTCCCTTTCTTCTCTTGGCTTCACAACTATCAAGCCACCATTATACCAAACACGGTAAGCTTAGTGATGTCATGTTCTGCTGCATGGACAATGCACTTAAACAATCAAACGTACATGGGTAGATGTCCAGGTGTCAGAATGCACAGATCTGAGTCTGCAGCTACTGTATCTCCAGAAGGCTCTTTAATCCCATAATCTAAACTCCAACTCTTTAAATTTTATTTGTCTTTAGAGGTGCGATGTATCCCTGAAAAACTCCATGCCTTTTATTAAAAACAATCCCAGTGCACTTATAATGGGAGTGGCAGTAGGAAGAAAATCCACCTTGGAATAATACTCACATCCATCTTAGAGTAGAGACCATCAATATCAGCAAACACAAAGAAGAGGCAAATGCCCAGCTGCCCTGTGAGCACCAGTATGAATATATCTGAAGGAACAAAACCAAACAAATAAAATAATAGGTTTATGAGCAGTCCCAGCTGCTTGCCTTTACTACAGAAGATTGTAAAAATTTTCTGTGTCAAACAGTCAAAAAAAAAAAAATCCATGAGACAGGAAGGAACTTAAGCAACAGAAAAATGAACAGAGTAAAACCCCAGCTCTACTCAGTCAAGTAGATATATGTGAGGCTGGGACAAGCCTTGTCGCCACGTATTTAAAAAGCCAAAAGAGTATTTTGAACATTCAATCTGACCTCTCACATCTGAGAAGCCTTAGAACCTTCCAGTAAGTCTCACTCTGAGCTCAGTGTCTCCTGTCATTCAGAAAAATGTCCAGGATGTAGTCTTGCTCTTGTTGTTAGGATAAGGAACTCTGCCCTCAATTTCAGTGATATCAAGACTTTGCTCTTGATCAGAATTTAAATAGTCTAAATAATGGAGAATCTCTTGCCCTCCCCATCCATAGGCAAATGGTCCAGATGAGTAAATTAATTTTCTCTTCGGCTGGCATGCACCAAGCTTCACCCCTCAGCCACTCACTGTGGTTTTGCCTGATTCTGGGAGACTGATGACCCACTCTTCTGCTATCTGGGAAGAATGTCCCCTCCTCACTATTACTATAACAAAACAGCAAAGCCATGAAACCTGCAAAATTAATTTAACTCCAAGCCAAAAAAGAACTGAACAGAGCTTTGCCTAAGAGACAGCTGCAGGATTTGTCCCACAGAGAAAAAGAACATCTCTCCTATGCCTCATTTCAACTTACAGAACTGCCACAAATCACTTGTGCTCATCTTCCCTTCACACGATAGTCTTTCAGAGGCAGACCAGACCCACTCATCTTCACTACAGCCCCTTCAAGTTATTGCCTCCTTTGGTGTTTCTTCTTTAAAGAAGTTACTGGTCACAGAGTTAGTGAATGCTAAATGTCTCTGGTTCCGGAACAGGAAACAGGGCCTCTGCAAATGCGCATGTTTTCTTCTAAGATGGTCTCAAAAGAATGCTCTGAACATGAGTTTTCGCAAATATTGCTCAATCAGCATGCTTTGGGGAGACAGGTGTAGGGTTCTTCCAGAGTTATTCTAAAGGCTAAAGCAGCATGAGACCACCTAATTCTGGCTCTTCTTGAGATGTCTCATTCAGGCTGCCTTAAGTAACATGCTGCTTCTGCCAGGCAACACCACCTTCCTGCTACTCCTTAGAAGTTTTTATCAAACTCCATTTTTCAGTTTCAGAAATCCAAATGCCAGGGCCAAATTTTTTGCAGTATAAAAAGCACAAAGTGTGGGCCCAGCTCAGAGAGCTCCTGGTCACAGGATGCCACTGGCACTACAACTTCTGAAAAGGTGGCCTTTAGTAATTTAGAAATATAATACTGGGTTCCTGCTTTTTTGGCTGGCATCACTTTGGTCAAGTTTTAATTTTTCCCCAGTGAATTGACCTCCTAAGCTTACTTACTCACAGATCCCTCCCTCTCTCCCCATACTTACAGTTTGTGTAGATGGGTTGCCTGAAGGGCTTTCCCTTGGAAAACACTAGTGCTACGATGAGGCAGTTGATGGTACTCAGCAACCACACTGTGGTGTTTTCATAGCTTTTGTAGCCATTGTCTGTTTGCTCAAGGGCTTCATCTCTCATCCCATGGAGCCCCAGGCTGGAAACAGAGGAAGAATTCTCCATGTGGTTTTTCACTGGGAGGCAGGCACTGAAAAATAGTATCACACTGGTCAGCAAATGATCACTGGCTATTTCTCCCAGCTTCCACTACCACTATCAGGAATCCTTCCTCATAGCCATGATTTGCTCCTGCTGCCACAAGGATGTGGCAATGATGTCCTCAATCTTACCCACTGAGTTGAGCTTGCTGAACTTGACAGAGCCTGAGCTCAAATCCACTTGGATATCCTGGTCTTCCCTGCAAGCAAATACTCCTCTTTGTGCTCAGCAGAAGCATTCGCACCACATGCACTGTGCTGCACAGCAGACTTGCCAGAGAGCTTAGGCACCTGCCAACAACACTGCTTAATGTGTTTGCACCCTGTGGAAAAGCATAGGGTCTGCCTGCAGCTGCTGATCAGGTCTGTAGTTAAGCCCCACTAGGTCTGCCCTGTGTCACCCAGAGTCCCAAGAAGGCAACCTACCTGTGTATATTAGTCTTGGAATACCAAGGCTGCTCCTGGACCACCAAAAATCCAAAAATCTGCATGCTGAGGCTGAAGACGATGTTAAGTACAACAGAGAGCAGCAATGGGGGTGAAACGAGTTGGCTAGGAGGCCTGTAGGGAACCAGCTTTGGATAGGCACCTGTGAAACTCACTGAGACATGCACAGACACGTTTACTAATACAAGCAGTGCTGTTGTATATTACTGTTATCAACGGCCAGCACTTTCACAGTCTATAATGTTCTTTATAATACATACAAATACTATGTCAAGAACACAATACAGAGTTGTTTTTTTACAAATTCTTATTGGCCACAGAAGAGGTTAATTAATGTCATCTGACTATCATGACACATTCTTGGAAAATAAAATGTTGGCTTTTTATTTTGTTTGTCTACTGTCAGGCCTAAGGATATAAAGATATGCTCAAGTGCTCCTGTTCTCTTTCCATCACTTGTCAACTGTGGTGTGGGATTTTCTGTTGCCCATGTTCTATGCATCCTCCCAGACTAAGCATCTAGTGCCTGGTTATTTGAGCTGGGGAAGGACTGCATTAGCTGACCCACCAGGTTTTCCTCTGTTCTTAGGTTTAACAAAGTTATCCACAGAAAACCTTGATGCAGTGTTCCAAATGGGCTGCTTACAGCAAGGTAGCTTTTGGCACTTGGTATTGTGGCTGACACTTTTAGGCTTGATTTAATCAAGGCCTTTTCCAGTTGTCTGTGTTCCAGCAGGGATGGAAGACAAGCGATGTGGTTTTGCTACATGCTTTTCATGCCCCTGCCCTTGCCATACCCACTTCTAAACCTCCCTCTCCCTGCATTTACTCTGTCTCAACAACCCCGTCTTTCTCTTTCCCCTCCAGCACTGGTTTCATCTCTTACTCTTGGCTTACAACTTCCTGCTCTGTAGTATCTGACATCTGCCATTTCTTTCCTCCCCATTTCTGTATCTCTTTCCTCTCATGCATCCTGCCCTACACGGCTTCAAATATGAGTTGGACTCTGAACAGTTGATCCCTACGCTTTTTTATTTGGGTATGGATCCTTAGGTATCTTCTTAATCTGCCTTCCCAAGTCAACAGGTAAAAACCTTAACAGACTTTCCACTCCATTAGGTCTGGTTTAGTTCCTTCTAGAGATAACATCCCAGTTATCAACAACCTAAATGCTCAGTAAATGCATCACTAAGAATTACCTTATTTCAGAGCTTTTCTCAAACAAGACACCTCCTCTACTAATCTAAACATCCTGTACTCTACGTAGTCTCTCTCTTTTCTTCATTTCTGTACATCGGATTATGCATTTCCAAGGAGGTGAAAAATATTTGAGATCATTTTCTCATTAACCCATAGCATGACTAAGGGGCTTACTTGTCACACCAATTACAGTGGTAATAGCCAGATCTTGGAACAAAAATTGGTAATTCCCAAAGGAGTTTAGTTGCTGAAAAGAGGAACACAAAGAAAAAAAAAAATCACAAATCAGATATTTGCCTTGGGCTTGTTTATATCATCTTCAGAAGGCTGTATTATTTTCATGGAGTTACTGCTCTGTTGTTTGTTCTGAAACACTAGTCAGCAGATAAGGGTACCACATGATCCACCACCCTGCCAATAGATTTGTCATCATTGGGCCTGCAGTGAATACTCTCATTTTGTGCATTGTTCAGACTAACAAACATTCCAGTTCACTCAATGCAGGAAAAAAGACAGCTATTTGAAGAGATGTGGTTTCTCAATGCTGGGTGACTTCTGAATGCAAAGCCCTCCTCCCTATTTGGGAAGAAGCCATGCAAAAGTGGTTAAGGCACTCTAGGGGATTTTGCTTACTGTCAAGCTAATTCATGCTTCAGATGCTGTACAGATTGCAACAGCATATGCTTACGCCAGATTCTCCCTTTTCACAGACATATGCCATCATCCAAAATACTGTTCAGTATCTCAGCCTTCTTTTTGCGCAGCTTGGACCTTGAGCCCACTGCTTGAGGTTAATAGGAAGAATCTTTCCAGTTTTCACCTGAGGGTACAGGAGGACCATATGATCATGCCACAGAAGTTTGCAGCTCACATAAACGTAAAGCTCCATACCCTAGTTTTATTGTGGCTTTTATGCCATGTTTCTCCTACAAGGAAGTAGTAACTCATCCAGTTCTAGCCAACATGTTCCCAAGACATACCCAGTACAGTAGGAGAACACCAAGGTACTGAATGATACTGTACAGTGCCATGTACTTGAACATACAGAAGGAAGTGACGAGGGCAGCGCGGCCTTCCCTGTGTGAAGACATGAATAAAGGATAGTAATTAGGTGATGGGTCTGCTCCTGTTGCCAGTCCTCTCAAAACACTGTTGAAAAACAAGGCATGTGTCATAAGTAGAGACGTCTCTGCTACTATCTTGCTGGGAGGTGAAATAAATAAAATCTAGCCTGAATTAAAGTAAAATCTTCACTTGCAGAAATCTTGCTGAAAGCAAAAGGTCTTGATTTTACTCATCTATGTTCCCAAGACTACAATTTACCCCAGTGAGTTTTCCTGCTGACATTAATAGTGCGGGTAACAACTCCATAAGAGGAAAAACATACCAAGCCAAGCAGCTGCTCAGTGAGTTCAAACTAACAAGTCCTCTCCTCCTGCAGTGAACATATAGTATCCAACGAGCGTAACGCACTCTCCTTGGTTATTCACCTGCCTCAGTAAGTAAAATCAGGACCCTGGCATAACAGATGCTAACGTTCTGCTTGCATAGGGTATCAGAGTCAGGGCCTAATAATAGTGTACAGGTTGATTTGTGGATGTTTGATTCAGCTTTATGAAGCACTGTTAATTTTTCTCTTTCTTTTGCATTTAAAATACTGCTAATGACAAAGACCTCAGCTGTAAAGACCCTCCTCCTGCTGTTTTGAGGAAACTAACATCCTAAAGGAATTTCAGATGGGAACTAGGCAAATGGCAATTTCAAGGTCAAAGACATTTTTCTCTAGCTATGTATGTTCTGGCCTAGTGGGCCAACACTAATATTTGAGAAGAGTGGGAACTGTCTTCTTTATGAAATAGGAAACAAAAATCCGTGCTTACCTGATTAGCTCTGGCACACATGCTATGCTGGGGGTTCGGGATGTGAAAGGTGAAGCCACAGATGCCTCCTGCTCTGACAGTGATATCCCTGCATGCGCCACTTTCAAAGCCTGAAAGTCACATTCTTCTTCAGCACTCACAGACCAAGAAGACACAGCAACTGACATGTCAGCCCTTATTACAGGATGTGTTCTGTGAACAGCAGCCCCTCTTCACTCCCTGGGTGTGCTCCACCCAAAGAAGAATGGGGATGACAGCATGGGAAAGTCCCTTTTCCACAGACGCCAAAGCATCCTCTACCAGCTGCAGAAGACAGGTTTGTCTCTGCCTCCTTTGTCAGCACTTGTCTGCAGTCACACCTTATGTAGACAGTCTAGGTTCTCTGCTTCTTTCCCCCAGGAGAATCTTTGGGGCTTTCTGTTAGGGGAAGTGCGTGCTTCACTGCCTAGGTGGCATTGCTCTCACTGCCACAAGGTTGTGTGAAGTCATGGAGTGAACTGAACCTGCCCAGAAGAGAGTTATGGGTCCCTCCCAAACATGAACCCTTCCTTTTGGAAAAAAACCTTTCTTGCACTTCTAAAATGTGCATTTACAAAAACCTTGTAGGGCTACATCTGTTCCCCATGGAAACTCCTCCTCTTCTCTACCTCCAGACACTGAAGATGTTGACAGAAACCCCAGGGGAGGATTTGGAGAATCCTCTGGTGGTTTTTGCAAAGGGAATGAATCAGTCCTTGAGACCAAAAACTGCAACAGTCTCTGCCTAGGACAGCTCTTGCATGGTAAGGACCACACTGTGGGATCGGGCCTGAATCAGTACTGGTGCCACTAGAGCTGCTCTGCTCTGTCTCCAGCATGTGCTTAGTTTGGGGTATTCTACTGGCACTGCATTTATTTTTCATTTTTAAAATAAATATATTGTAAAGAATTATCACTTACCCCGCAGTCATTGGCTCCGTCTCCACACATGCCCACAAAGTAACTAAAAGATAAAGTGACATATAGTTCAGTTTGAAGTGAGAACTATAAACAGGAGGGAATCAGACCCTCCTCCATGCGAGTCATTTATGCAAGTCATGTGAGTCTTTTGTTAAAAGCCCTTCTGGAAAGCTGAAAGACTGAAATACAAAGCCCAGGACTCTGGACTGTGCATGTGCCTTGGGCTTGCACTTCAGATGTGTCTACAGTAAAGAGTTTCTGCTGTGACAGACTGAAGAATACATTATCATGAAGTTTTATGTTCACTACAACGGACTCAGTCTCCCACCCTCACTGCGTTTAAAGTCAATCATAACAGAGGAAAAGGCTAATGGTAACAGCCCTGCTCAGAAAGGAGGGATTGCAGGCACTGGTACCTCATGTTCACTGGGAATAGACACGCATGGGGACTCTACTTTGGGGTCCAGTCCTGCCAGAATCTCCCAGGGCAGACAGAGAGTGACAGAGGCAGCTAGAGTAGAGAAAGAATGAGAACATGGGCTTAAAAGGGTATAGACACCTGGGACTCAGGAATATCTATATGCCTTTGTGACTGTGAGCAGCACAGGGCATACTAATCCAGACTGTCCTGCCATGTTTTCTAACCCATCACACTGAGTCAGCAATAGCGCAGTAAAAAGACTGCTAGCATCAGAGAAGCTGCAGTGCTGGGAGATATTAAAAAAAATCTTGGGTAGACAAGTGTCCCTCCTTCAGGCACAGAAAGAGAAGTAGGAATGAAGGATGACATGAACAGATGAGACCCAGAATCATGGGAGTGTTAGGTCTTTGACATGTTGCCAAACCAACCTGGACTTCAGTGTCTCTTCTTTAACAGGCTTTTGAAATTTAATTGCTAAGCTGTATGTTTGTGGAAGTTTCAGTTTTGTGCACTTCCAGGAAATGCTATGTTAGACAAAAGTTAGCTCTTACTAGACTCTTTTCAAGCTTGGAAATTCATCAAATGCTTCCTAACTCTGAGTGCTCATTATAAACTTACTCCAGCTTTTGAAACTCTTCTACAAGGCTGGATTTCTGACCAGGAGACATTCTAGCAAAAACTGTTCCATCCAGCAGGAGCTGTATGGAGAAAAAAGAAAGTGATCTTTTTAAGCACTTGAGGCAAGAGTCACAGTTATTTCAGTGATAATCTGGAATAGAAATGATCAAAAATTCACATTTCCAAACAACTGATGCTACACTCCAAAGCAGGAAATACTAATGATCAAAGATAAAAGGTGTCGTAATTAATATTTTGAAAAAATAACAATCACAATAAGGACAAGAGGTCTGGTGTATCATTTGAATTACCTGATGAACACAGATTACCAGGCAGGCATTTACTAGAAGGGAATTCATGAGACTATTCTTTCCATAAAATAGACAAGTCATGCTGAATTGTATGCTGTATAATACCAAGTTTTCTCCTGTTCTCCAAAACATGAAAAAATCAGTGCTGTGCAAGGGCCAGGCCTATGGGCACAAATGTTTTAAGTCATGTCCTCACACCATGAGGTGGGTCTGCTTCTCTCATGTGCAGAAAAACCCCAAGGATTTTCAGATCCTTCCCCATACATTAATATCAGAGATTCATCCAGCTCGTAAGAATTTCAGGGTTGGAATTGTTCCCAAAAGATGTCCTGGTACAGATCTCTTCAGATAATTATATCAGGACAATCCAAATCTACTGAATGGCAAGCCTACTCCAGTTAAATAATCCAGATCTTACCTTTGGAAGTAAGTGCCTGAAATGCTGTACTACAATTTGGTAAGATTTTCCACTCATGGCAAAATGATATTGGCCTGATCCCAATGCCAGCTTGATTCTTCTTTCAGTCTGACTGTCATCCTCCTATAAAACAAGACAGAATGAGTGCTCCTTCCAGGCCCCCAAAAGCTATTATGTCCATTTACACAAGCACTACTACAGACAAAGAAAAGGACATACCATGGGGAAGGCACTTGTGAAGACTCTGGGAGACCTGGTTTCAAGGCCCATTGCCTTTGCCTGGATTTGTAAAGGGATTTAGGCATGTAATGCCATTAATTTCAGTGGGAATTGGGAATTTTATGTCTTAAAAGCTGGCCCTCAGCATCGCCACATTTGATAGAATTTATGCAAAAGTGCCAGTCTGGTGGGCTGCACTGTGAGCGAGAGGGGCTACAGAAAGTGTATGCACACTACAGGTAGGTGTGCCTTTTTGTATTGAAATACAGTGAAGATGCTGCTCAGGCTGAGCTTTGGTAGAAAGGAACCTCCCAACAGCACCTGCAGAGTTTTCCTACAATCTGCCTAACTCTATTACTTCTCAACAAAGGGTCAGCACCTGCAGACATACTCTTCAGGGAGAGAGTAACTGGTCTTTGTCTCAGTTCCTTTGTGGAGATGCTTGATGAAACATAAGTTCTTAGCATAGCTACCCTATGTTTCACTGCGTATATGCAATTTCTCAACAGTTAATCTGTGTTTTAATTCTGCAGGTATGGCGAAGTGCAAACTCCCTACCTGCTTGAACAGGGCTGGTTCATTCAGTGCATTTCCACAGATTTTAAGTCTACATCTACACTATCAAATTTACCTTGCAGGGAAAGGAAACATACTTTAAAGTGGCATCAGCTAAGCACGAAGGCTAGAGAAAAAGCTTTCCTGGGTTTCTGCAAAGCTGTTCTCAAACCTAGCTAGGCAGTTAGGAAAAACATGTACACAAGATAGTATGCTAGGAAAGAAGCTCTAGGGGAGTACATTTTTTATAAAGACCCTTGTTTTTAAACACTTTTTTAGCACAAAACATTCTGGCATGCAGATGATGGTGAATGACTGGTCTCTTATACTAGCATAATCCCACTGCATTATGTAAAGTCTTCCAGTTTAATTTGTTTTCCTGCTGCACAACACCTGCTTCTTATATACTCACCAGGCTTCTGTAATTTTCAGTTTTGTTTTCTTCTAGTGGTTTCCAGGTTATAGATGCTGAAGAAGATCCAGGCATTTTGTTTGCTTCCACAAGAATCACTCTGTTCATTGGAGAAATCATCCCAGCATTTTTGGCAACAGTTACAGCTGTCTGAATGTTGTCACCTAGAAAAATCAAGGGGAGTGTTATCTAAAAATTTCTGCAATGAGGAATTGTTTATGGAGGAAACATTAGCCTTTGCCTGAATTTTGAGTTTTCAAATATATCTGCAAGAATCAGTAAGATTTTTATGGATATATTTGAAACATAGTTTACCCAACGACTTTTTTGCTTCTGTCTTCACCCACAAGTGCTCAATCTACACCACCCAAGCCGCAGAAGGCAAAGGCAAGGGCTAGGAGAAAGAAGAGCTGCCAGCTGTATGAGAAGATCAGGTTTGAGACCATATAAGGAACCTGAAGGTGCACAAGTCCATGAGACCTGATGAGATGGATCCGTGGGTCCTGAGGAAACTGGTGGATGAAGTTGTTAAACCACTATCCATCCTATTTGAGAAGTCGTGGCAGTCTGGTGAAGTTCCCACTGACTGGAAAAGGGGAAACATAACTCCCATTTTTACAAAAGAAAATAAGGAAGACCCGGGGAACTACAGGCCAATCAGCCTCACCTCTGTGCCTGGCAAGATCATGGAGCAGATCCTCCTGGAAATTATGCTAAGGTACATGGAAAATAAGGGGGGGATTGGTGACAGCCAGCATGGCTTCACTAAGGGCAAATCATGCCTGACAAACTTGGTGGCCTTCTGCAATGGAGTTACAACGTTGGTGGATAAGGCAAGAGCAACGGACATCATCTACGTGGACTTGTGCAAAGCATTTGACACTGTCCTGCATGACATCTTTGTCTCTAAGTTGGAGAGTAATGGTTTTGATGGAAGGACCACTTGGTGGATAAGGAATTGGCTGGACGGTTGTACTCAAAGTGTTGTGGTCAATAGCTCAATGTCCACCTGGAGACTGGATTATGAGTGGTGTTCCTCAGGGGTCGGTATTGGGACCAGTGTTGTTTAACATCTTTGTTGGAAACATAAACAGTGGGATCGAGTGCTCCCTCAGCAAGTTTGCTGACGACAGCAACCTGGGTGGTGCGGTTGACACGCTGGAGGGAAGGGATGCCATCCAGAGCGGAGAGACCTTGACAGGTGAGAGAGGTGGGCCCGTGCAAACCTCATGGAGCTCAACAAGACCAAGTGTAAGGTCCTGCACATGGGTCGAG